ACCACCCAAGCTTAGAATTTCTCATTATTCTTTTTAAAGCTATTCTATCCAATTTATTTTAATTGTAGACAGACCAAAGATATAAAAGCAAGATGTCTGGTGGAGGCTATGTGAAGTCTTCTTACAGATTCCATAGAGAAAGAAAGGGTGTTTTTGGAGATAGATGCATAAACAAATAAATCATGATAGTGTAAAAAGTATAGTAAAAGTAGAATAAGGTACCAAAATAAAGGATATGATTTGATTAACTTTGTCAATGTGGATATCAGGAAAAATTTCCTAGAGGAAGGAGGCAGGGTTTCTGCAAAGACATAGAGGAGGAGGTGTGAAACTCTGGTGGCAGCAGTTATAAGCAGGATCACCCAGCATGGGGACAGGTGGAGGGAGCTGCGAAGCAGGAGGGGAACTGCAGTCTGTGTCTACCTAAGAGCTTAGACTGAATCTTGTAGGATTTTAAGCAACCCATGTTTTATTTATTTATATATATATATTTTTGAGACAGAGTCTCGCTTTGTTGCCTAGGCTAGAGTGAGTGCCGTGGCGTCAGCCTAGCTCACAGCAACCTCAAACTCCTGGGCTCAAGCGATCCTTCTGCCTCAGCCTCCCAAGTAGCTGGGACTATAGGCATGTGCCACCATGCCTGGCTAATTTTTTTTTCTATATATATAAGTTGGCCAATTAATTTCTTTCTATTTATAGTAGAGACGGGGTCTCACTCTTGCTCAGGCTGGTTTCGAACTCCTGACCTTGAGCAATCCGCCCACCTCGGCTTCCCAGAGCTAGGATTACAGGCATGAACCACCGCGCCCCGGCCAGCAACCCATGTTTTAGAAAGAGCCCTGTGGTGCTAGCCTGAAGGAATTATATGTCAGGGGTAGGGTAGAAGACAAGCCAGGGGATGGGACCAAGACTGGAGACAGAGCCTAGAGAGGCCATTGTTTACTGTGCTTTACAGCAGAGTCACAACTGCTTGAATCTCAGAGACTTACTTTCAAAGGAGATATTTGAAAATAAAATTTTCAGCCAGGTGAGGGGGCTCACACCTGCAATCCCAACACTTTGGGAGGCCAAGGTGGAAGAATCGCTTGTGGCCACGGTTCAAGACCAGTCTGGGCAATACAGCAAGACCCCCATCTCTGTTATTTTAAAAAAATGAAAAAAATTTTCAAGGGTATAGTAATATAAGCACAAAAGGCATCCAGTTATCTATAAACTACAATTCAAAAGAAATGTCACTTCTTGAAATGATAACATAAATGAGAGAAGTTATTATCAGCAAGCAAATGCTCTTTTTAACTAGAAATCTTTTTTTTTTTGTTTTTTTTTTTTGTTTTTTTGAGACAGAGTCTCGCTTTGTTGCCCAGGCTAGAGTAAGTGCCATGGCGTCAGCCTAGCTCACAGCAACCTCAAACTCCTGGGCTCAAGCAATCCTGCTGCCTCGGCCTCCCAAGTAGCTGGGACTACAGGCATGTGCCACCATGCTTGGCTAATTTTTTCTATATATATTAGTTGGCCAATTAATTTCTTTCTATTTTTAGTAGAGACGGGGTCTCGGTCTTGCTCAGGTTTGTTTCGAACTCCTGACCTCGAGCGATCCTCCCACCTCGGCCTCCCAGAGTGCTAGGATTACAGGTGTGGGCCACTGCGCCCAGGCTTAACTAGAAATCTTAAAAGAAACATTGTTGCTATCCAAGAAAAGAAATTCCTGGAGACTCATCTCTCAAGAAAAATGATCATATCTGAGATTTTAAAATTAGTTCATTTCCTCTTATAATTCATTTATATCTGCTGTATGAAGTTGTCCCAAGAAAGTCAAAGATGAAGTTCGGCTTTTTTAGACTTACTCTGGAAGAATATGAGTGCTGATTAGCAAGCTCCCCAGCCACCTGCTTCCCTGCAAAGCCCTTCACCATCATTGGGCAGGTGACATTAAGTCTCTCTTGTCATTTCTAACAATTTTCCAAAAATAAAAAGTTACCTAGAGTTCTCATTATTTTTATTTTATTTCTTTATTCTATTCTTGAATCAAGCTATCTTTAGCTTTACATTTTTCAAGGGGGAGAAATCCTTTTGAGTTTGAACCATATGAAATTATTGATGTTTGATCATTTTTGATCTATAAACAGCATTTTCGTGTAATAAGTCTTCATAGTGTCTGGCTGAGTGTTTATCCTGTGACACTGTACATGGCTGGTGGCTGTGAGCAATCTTGTGTGCCGGCGCTACAGCCTGGTGGGGAGGGCAGTGCCTCCTGGGTGATGGAAAGAGAGTCTGCTTGTCGTAAGGAGACCCAGGCTGGGACCCTGGCATGCTAGTGCCTGCCACATAGGCTTGGGAAAGCCAGCTCTATAAGATAAGGTTAAGAATTTTCCTCCTAGGGTTTTGTAAGCATCAACTAAGATAACTATAAACCAAGGTATGTAGAAATGTCTGACATGCAGCAGGCACTCATTGCATGTTAATTGTTGAAACTCTAAAATCATTAAAAAATACTGAGTTCTTCCCAGCTCTGAAAGTGAATAAACATCCTGAATGTCAAAACAATTGTATGAGAGAGTCCTTAGAGAATCAGGAAGAACTTCAGGAAGCAGATGGCACTGCTGCTAGGTTTTAAATGACAGAGTTTCGAAAGTCGGGGGAAGGGCATTGTAGACAGCAGGAAGGTGGACGTGGGAAAGCGTGGTCTCTGGTGCGGAGAGGCACGCACAAATGTGAGAGGGCTGATAACGAGCAGTTGGATAGCAGCTTGTGTTTAAAGTGAGGTAGGCCCAGCTCAGAGACGATGCCGAGGTTTTTGGAAAAATGCTGGAGCCGTTAATAGAAATAGGGAATTTAGGGAGGAAGCCAGACATGGAAGAAGGAGAGGAGTTTGGTTGGAGAGAGGCCAGAAGTGGATGGCTGGACTCACTGGTGGGCAAAGTGTGTTCTTCATATAAACTAAGTGCAAAAATGAATGAATGAACTAACAAACTATTTCATGTCATCTCATTGAAACTTGAAAGCTTAGGGAATTTTTTTCTAAATATTACAGTGACATTCTTATCTATTATAACCAAAGGTGAAATTATTTGCCTAAATATTTAAATCAGCATATCAGGATTACAGACATCTGAAGTGACCCATTTGCCAGCAGGTGTTTAATTGCTGACAAAATCCACTAGTCTTTTTTATTAACTGATTACCAAGGAATATATGCTAGGCATTGAGGGGAAAAAAGTACCATTTATAGTTAAAACCAATATTAGTTACACTATAACCCAGCTCCCTTAAATGTATGCATGTTCTCTCTCTCTTTTGGACTGTGACAATGCTGTTTGGGGAGATTGCACTCTGAACTTAAAAATAAAGTTAGAGGATAGGAAAGCATCTTTACAGTAACAAAGTTAAGCAAAAGACCACTTCAGAGCAGATAGAGCTAGCACAGGTGCACAACAAAACAGAATCAAAGACACAGATGCTCCCTTGCCTCTGAGTCACTTGGTATATGAATGCAAAGCAAAAGCAGAACATTCTGGATCCATCCAAGCATGACTTATAATTCAACATTGTACCACATTATATTCTCTGATTAGAAGCAATTAGGTTGACTGAATTTTTGAGTGTGTTTATTTGCCTGAAATTGTCATGTCAAAATATCTCTCCTTAAAGAGCATTATTTAGTGTGTTTTTGGATGAAAAAGTCACTATACCAAAAAAATTGTCTGAAAATGACGTGGTTTTTCAAGAACTGTAATAGTGAAGAGTCATTAACTGAACAGATATTGTATGAGGTAAATCTGTAATATGAATTCTTCTGTTTTTATAGGTAAAATTCCAGTCTTTGATAGTTATTACTTTCCGACACATTGGCAAAATGTTTCAATAGTACATTAAATAAAATGTAAAATTCACTTTACTAATATTTGGAAAGACTAAAAATCTTCAAAAATGTATCATTAGTGGCTTAGGATGAAAGATGTGTATTTATATTACATAATTGTCTACAGTGGTTTGTTTTGAGAAACTTTATTATATGTCTTTAATACCTGGATTATTGTACCACTAGCTTAAAAATTAGAACATTACCTGAGGAGACAAAAAATGCATTTTATGGCTGGGCTTGGTGGCTCACATCTGTAATCCTAGCATTTTGGGAGGTCAAGGCGGGAGGATCCCTTAAGGCCAGGAATTCATGACCAGCCTGGGCAACATAGTGAGACCCTGTCTCTACAAAAAATAAAAACGACTTAGCCTCATCTGGACATGGTGGTTCGTGCCGGTAGTCCCAGCTACTCAGGAAGCGGAGGCAGGAGGATTGCCTGAGCCCAGGAGTTGGAGGCTGCAGTAAACTATGATTGTACCACTACACTCCAGTCTGGGTGACAGCGAAACCCTCTGTCTTAAAACAAACAAACAAAAACATTTTATTAAAACCATATTACCAACTGACCTGTAACCAAAAGCTTTCACCTATAATTACCAAGTGAATTATAGTTGTTTCTCCATATCTTTAAAAATCTAGTGTGATAGTCTGTTTTTTTAAACATAATTTATTTTGATAGCTTTCTGAGTCATGACTCATATACATAATTAGTACAGATGAGAGACTTATATGGGAAATAAGCCCCCTTTCCATATCTAACTTTATTTTTTCTTTTTTCATATCAAACTTTTGAAAAATCATGGGCTAGCTTATTGAAAATCTGATTGTAGCACATTAGGTGTTGATAGTTTAATTATGGACATAGTTATGCTAATTTTTTCATTACTTATCAAAATACCATTTATATGGAATCCTTTCTTTGCCAAGAGGTTAACTTATTAATTAAATGAGTAATCAATTAGAGACAGGGTCTTGCTCTATTGCCCATGCTGGAATGCAGTGGTATAATAGCTTGCTGCAGCCTTGAGCTCCTGGGCTCAGGCTATCCTCCTGCCTCAGCTTCTTGAGTAGCTGTGACTACAGGTCTGCACCACCACACCCAGCATACATTCCAGTGTGTGTTTTTTGTTCTCTGTAGGTTGGGAATCCACGTGTTGAACTCACCCTCTCAGAGCTCCAAGACATGGCAGCTAGGCAACAACAGCAAATTGAAAATCAGCAGCAGATGTTGGTTGCCAAGGTAAGTTATCAAAGCAGAGGTAGGGCACATTGTTCAAAAGGTATCTTCTTCAATCATCATTTTAGATTGGGGTTCATACATTCATGGGTAACACTTGTAAAATAAAACTATGTCACTGGAGTGCTAAATACAATGTCTTTTTATTATCACTTCCTTAATAACATATGCATATCTAGTTGCTGGAAGTTGAGAAGGTATCAGCAAGGTATCTTGACATGCACAAGAACAAGAAATGACTGACATTATCCAATTCATAGATAAAATTTCGAAAGGATGCTTTCTGTTGTTACCTCCTTTTTTCTCTGCGTGTGTTCCCAGCTGTGTATTTGGTATTAATGTTTAGAGGAAACCAGCAATCCATGATGAAAATGCTGGTCAGGGACCCTGAAAACAATGACAGCTGGTTAACAGGGCTTCCTCATGTGCCCTCTATGCTGAAATTGTTTGGTTTATTACCGTGCAGGGTACAGATAATGCTCATTATATACCAAATTTGACATTTGCTGTTGAAACCCTGTAAAGTAGGATTGGGAATTTTCCTAAATAATTGTTTAGTCATACTTGATTGAAAAATCAGACCTATTACCATGTCTGCTGGAAATGATTCATGTTGTAAATGATCTTAAAATGTTCTGAAACTGCTTTAAAGAGAACCTTTAAACATTACCACCTAGGTTCTTTTTTTTTTTTTTTTTTTGAGACAGAGTCTCGCTTTGTTGTCCAGGCTAGAGTGAGTGCCGTGGCGTCAGCCTCGCTCACAGCAACCTCAAACTCCTGGGCTCGAGCGATCCTTCTGCCTCAGCCTCCCAAGTAGCTGGGACTACAGGCATGAGCCACCATGCCCGGCTAATTTTTTTTTTTTTTATATACATATCAGTTGGCCAATTAATTTCTTTCTATTTATAGTAGAGACGAGGTCTCACTCTTGCTCAGGCTGGTTTTGAACTCCTGACCTTGAGCAATCCGCCCGCCTCGGCCTCCCAGAGAGCTAGGATTACAGGCGTGAGCCACCGCGCCCAGCCAACCACCTAGGTTCTTACTGCTTTCTTCTGTAGAGAGATTTTCTTAATAACCAAATGTCCAATCTAGTTTTATTGAATGATTGTGTAGTTCATTGTACTATCCACTTTCAAGAAAGTAATAATTTAAGTTGGACTGTTTTAAAGTTTATTGGATTTACAATAATAAAAACAATTAAAAGTTAAATAAATTAGAAAACATTTCATCCCATTAATAAGATTTCTAAGATAAAATATACATAATATTATGTAATTATAAAATTTTCTTATTCTGCTTTTTATTCTTTCCAAATATTGATCCAAAAGTATTGCTGTTAAAAAATTTTAGATATTTTCGTCAGTGTAAATCACAAGTTAATGCTAAATCTGAAATATTTAAGCACATATTTCCTTACCTTAAAGTGTAGTATGTAATGCTTGCATAATCATACCTTAAACCTCTCCTTATTTAGGTATATTTTATGCATACATATGGGACCATGAATATTTAATGTTGACTGTTATCCTTAAGGTATGTTATCACATTAATAGGAAAAAAACTATTGAAGAGTTTTGCATATATTTTTATTTTTGGATTGTCCTGTTATTGTGTGACTATAAAGTGTTTCATTATTTTTGAAGAAACTAATCCTGAAGAAAGCAAACACTTCCTTGATTGTTCAGTGTCACTTAGCAAATGGAGGTTTATCTCCTTACTGATTACTTTATCTCTTTCCAGTGTAAAATCCTCTGCTGGTCAGTGCTCATTTCCTTTAGGAAATTAAGTAAGAGATTCTTGGGAGCCACTTTGTAGCAGCAGGAAACATGTTACTGACAGCAGGAAACTCAGGCTGGCTGAGACTTCACAGATGTGAGAGTGAAGATGAGGTTGTGTTAGTCAGTGCATGTTCTCCTGCTGTAAGGTTTTCTGCCAAGGCACTTATATTAACTGAATGGTGTAGATCAGGGTGCATAGAAAAATCCCCAGACTCTTACCATCTCATATGCCCAATAATTTCAGTTTTGCGTGGTCTGATGTGTGCAAGTTTCCTCTAGTGTTTCTTTAGTATTCATTAAGATGGGTGATACTGTGGAATACATTCACATTTTTCTTTTTAGTGTGTGAAAGTAATCACAAGTTTCAATTTTCAAAGTTAGATTTTCCTTCTTTTGTTAGGAACAGCGTTTACATTTTCTAAAGCAACAGGAGCGCCGTCAGCAGCAGTCTATTTCTGAAAATGAAAAGCTTCAGAAATTGAAAGAACGAGTTGAAGCCCAGGAAAACAAGCTGAAGAAAATCCGTGCTATGAGAGGACAAGTGGACTACAGTAAAATCATGAATGGCAATCTGTGTATGTGCCCACGGCCCCTCCCGGCTCCCACTCTCACCAGTCCCAGATCAAGTGAAAGAGAGTCCAGCTGCACCTTTCTATAGCAAGTGTGCTAAAGCTTTGCTGTGTTATCTGCCTCTAAAAGGAAGGGTTTGGTTAGGTTAAGTGATCTTGAAAGGTCTCTTGGAGCCCTAGGACGCAGCAGGAAGATCCTTTTGTTACACTGGTAACAGCAGCCCTCTGCAGTGGGGTGGGGGTGCTCCAAGAAGGCTCACTGCTTACAGGGGTCGGCTTTCTTTGAACCATTTAAATTTTATCCATGCATTAAGATGAGCCATACAGATGCTCCCTTTTTTTTCTGTGTGGACTCCAATTTTATTGTTCAGTTCAGTTAGTGTCACAGTGAGGCGAGAGGCTAATGTGGCTTTCTCTGCCCTCACAAAGCCTTTGTTCATTCTATGGGCACATTGAGGTTCTGAAGTGGCTTGACCAAGTTAGCTTTTGGACTGCTTGCCCTAAAGAGTATTTAGCAATTAATGCAAATATCATTGTTTGCTCTGTGAGCAGTCACATCATGTGTTTTAGATTAAGCATATCAATTTTATCCAAAGTCTGGCATTAGATGATACTAGAGTTGAGTTCAATATACAGAAGTGAAAAAGAATGTCAACTAAATGATATTTTTTTCTTTTTTGGTGGACAATTATAGCTGCCGAAATAGAAAGGTTCAGTGCCATGTTCCAGGAAAAGAAGCAGGAAGTACAGACTGCAATTTTAAGAGTTGATCAGCTCAGTCAGCAATTGGAAGATTTAAAGAAAGGAAAACTGAACGGGTTCCAGTCTTACAATGGCAAGTTGACGGGACCAGCAGCAGTGGAGCTAAAAAGATTGTACCAAGAGCTACAGGTAACTCGTCTGCATCTGGGGAATGGTTATATTAAAATATCTTTATCTTTCTAGCTTTCACCTTAATATAGTTTGGAAACCTAAGAAACTGGAAACAAATTAATGGATTCTAATTTAGTAATAGCTGCAAAATATATTCAGTATAAAATATTTTTAAATGGCTTTATTGAGATATTCATATAGCATACAATTCACCCATGTAAAATATACCATCCAATGCCTTTAGTATCTTCAGAGTTGTGCATCCACCACCACAACCAATTGTAGAACATTTTCATCGCCCCATAAAGAAGCCCCTCACTTCTTATCCATTACCCCCCAAGAGCCTGGCAACCATGAATCTACTTTCAAGTATGGATTTGCCTATTCTGGACATTTTATATGAATAGAATCATACAATACAGGTTGTGCATCCTTAATCTGAAAATCCAAAATCCTTCAAAATCTGAAATTTATTGAGTACTGACATGATGCTCAAAAGAAATACTCATTGGAGCATTTTTTAGTTCAGATTTCTGGATTAGGAGGGATACTCAACCAGTAAGTACAATGTAAATATTCTCAAATCCAAAACATTTCTGGTCCCAAGCATTTCAGATAAGGGATGCTCAAGTTGTATGTGGTCCTTTGTGACTAGTTTCTCTTACTTAACATGTTTTTAGTATAAAGAACTTTATTGGAAAATAATAAACTAGTAAAGAATTAAGCTTTAGATGACATTTAAGACCTCTGTATGAGCTGTATTTTGATGAGCTGGCAGGCACCTATTCTTAAATCTTTGTTTTAGTTCAGGCTGCTGTAACAAAATATCACAGATTGGGTGGCTTAAATAGTAGACATTTATTTCTCACAGTTCTGGAAGCTGGCAGGTTCAGTTCCCAGTGAGGGCTTGCTTCCTGGCTTGCAGGCAGCCACCTTCCTGCTGTGAGAGTGAGTTCTGGTCTCTCTTCCTCTTCTTATAAGAACATTAATCCCATCATGGGGATGAGGCCCCTACCGTCATGCTGTCATCTGAACCTCATTACCTTCTAAAGTTCCTACCTCCAAATAGTATCACACTGGGGTTAGGGCTTCAACATACGGATTTGGGGTGGTGGGGTACGGGACACAAACATTCAGTCCATAACAATTCACAAGATTTCCATTTCTGAGAAGTTTTCCTTTAGCAGGTGATTTTTCAAGCCAGAAACAAGTTTTGTAAATTTTTTTATTTTTTATTTTATTTTATGTTATGTTATGTTGGAGACAGGGTCTCTGTGTCATCCAGGCTGGAGTGCAATGGTGTGATCATAGCTCACTGTAATCTCAAACTCCTGGGCTCAAGTGATCCTCCGGCCTCAGCCTCCCAAGTAGCTGGGACTATAGGTGTGCACCACCACACCTGGCTAATTATTCTGTTTTTTGTAGAGACGGGGTCCTCACTGTGTTGCTTGGGCTATTCTTGAACACCTGGCTTCAATACCTGATCAGAACACCTGATCTTCCACCTCAGCTGCCACAGTGCTGGGATTATAGGTATAAGCCACCATGCCCAGCCCAAGTTTTGCAGTTTTATTAGCACCTGCTAGAAAAAGGATCATATCATTTTATGAAATGAGGATATTTTGCTACAGAGTGAAATCACTTCTGGTTGCTGTTAAGTTGTTTAACATAAACACATAGAGTTAATAAAACATGGTAAGAATTTATGACTCCTTCTACATTTTAAGTGGTTGAAAAGTGCAGGGTTCTAGGGATTTTTTTGGTAAGGTGTGATGAATGTAATATAAGGATGTCAATTATTTCCAACTTTTTGGACTGCAATCCAGTTTTTTTGTTTGTTTTAAGAGACGGGTTCCCGATCTGTTACCCAGACTAGAGTTCAGTGGCCCAGTCATATAGTTCACTGCAACCTTGAACTCCTGGCCTGAGGCAGTCCTCCTACCTTGGCTTCCCAAAGTGCTGGGATTGCAGGTGTGAGCCACTGGACCCAGCCTGCAATCCAGTTTTTTTTTTTTTTTTTTTGAGACAGAGTCTCGCTTTGTTGCCCAGGCTAGAGTGAGTGCCGTGGCGTCAGCCTAGCTCACAGCAACCTCAAACTCCTGGCTCAAGCAATCCTCCTGCCTCAGCCTCCCAAGTAGCTGGGACTACAGGCATTCGCCACCATGCGGCTAATTTTTTGTATATATTAGTTGGCAATTAATTTCTTTCTATTTATAGTAGAGACGGGGTCTCGCTCTTGCTCAGGCTGGTTTCGAACTCCTGACCTCGAGCAATCCGCCCGCCTCGGCCTCCCAGAGAGCTAGGATTACAGGCGTGAGCCACCGCGCCCGGCCTGCAATCCAGTTTTTAAAAGTACTTTTTACCTCTTGTCTAGTACACATGTGGAAGTGTGTATACACAAGTGCTGTGGGCATCTGAAAGAGTTTAACAAGACAGTACTTAATTGCCTATAGAAATCACACTCTGATATTTTCTATTCTTTCCTATTTAATTTCTTAAAAGTGCCAGTTGCAACTCACTCACATGATATAAAAGGTACTTTCTTTCGTGATTTAGTTCATCCTTTGTGAATTTTCTTGTCTCCACGGTAAGGTGCTCATTCGGTGGACTTGGGCATGAAGCAGCTTCATGGGGTGAAGCAGAACCCTTAGGTCCTGAGAGCCCTTAGGACTGCAGTTGTAGTCTCCTGTCATCATTATTGGTGCCGGTCATTCCATGTGCTTTGAAGAAAGCGCCTTACAGATACTTTCTCTGTTTTGTAAGAACTCTGTTCTGGCTTCATCAATGCTGTACATGTAAAATATTTATCACACAGGTGGCAATGCATGAATGTAAATACACATCAGAACTTACTGCTACTTTTTCTTTTTTTTAAATCTCCCTGGCAATGAGAATTTCACTTTGTGATTGCCACAAATCATAAAAGTTGTATTTTGTATTTTGCAGATTCGTAACCAGCTTAACCAGGAACAGAATTCAAAACTCCAGCAGCAGAAGGAACTCCTAAATAAGCGCAACATGGAAGTGGCCATGATGGACAAGCGGATCAGTGAACTGCGTGAACGTCTTTATGGGAAAAAAATTCAGGCATGTGAAAAAGAAAGTTTCTGTGAGATGACTTGGGTCTGTGAGATAAAAATGGTTCATCCAAAAATTGCTCATCTTCACTAAGTGGTATTATGCTCCCTCTATCCGCCACAGTTTATAAAACAGAAATTGGCTATAATCCCTCAAAAATGATAATAGAAGAAAGTTCACTTTCCCAAAGACTTGTTTCCTAGCTCATGGAGTCACACAATTCAGCCTGCAGCCTTAGCTTTATCCTTGCCCTCCACCCTCCCCATGTGTTTTGTTTGTTTGTTTGTTTGTTTTTTGTTGGGTTTTTTTTGAGACAGAGTCTCACTTTGTTGCCCAGGCAGGAGTGAGTGCCATGGCGGCAGCCTAGCTCACAGCAACCTCAAACTCCTGGGCTCAAGCAATCCTGCTGCCTCAGCCTCCGAGTAGCTAGGACTACAGGCATGTGCCACCATGCCCGGCTAATTTTTTCTATATATATTAGTTGGCCAATTAATTTCTTTCTATTTATAGTAGAGACGGGGTCTCACTCTTGCTCAAGTTGGTTTTGAACTCCTGCCTTGAGCAATCCTCTCGCCTTGGCCTACCAGAGTGCTAGGATTACAGGCCTCAGCCACTGCTCCCGGCCCTCCCCATGTGTTTTTGTCTCTTCTCCATTGGGGGTGCTTTCGGCTCTGGAATCGCAGCACCTGGCACAGCCCACACTTTGCTTTTTTTTGTTTTTTAATAAGATGGGGTCTCAGTTGCCCAGGCTAGGGCACAGTGGTGCAATCATAGCTAACTGTAGCCTCCAACTCTTGGGCTCAAGTGGTCCTCCTGGCTCAACCTCCCAAAGTGCTGGGATTACAGGCATGAACCACTGTGCCCAGCCTCTACCCTTTTAAGCAGTGCCACTATGGACAAATCTCTTGACTTGTGTAGCTGTGTGTCCTTGTTGTAGAGTGACTTGTCCTACCTGCCCAGGAGTTGTTATAAAGATTCTCATGAATAGGCCGGGCGCTGTGGCTCACGCCTGTAATCCTAGCTCTTGGGAGGCCGAGGCGGGCGGATTGCTCAAGGTCAGGCACTCACTCTAGCCTGGGCAACAAAGCGAGACTCTGTCTCAAAAAAAAAAAATAAAAAATAAAAAATAAATAAATAAATAAAAAAGATTCTCATGAATAATCTATGTGGAAGGGTTTTGTAAACTCTCACGCAAAATACTATATAAGGGGTTATATGTTTAAATAGTCTTTATTTGTTTTTTTAATTTCAAAGGTAGTAAGCACTCATTGAAAAAAATTAAAACAGTACAGAAATGTTGAAAGGAAAATTTGAAAGTCCCTTCCACCCCCTTCTCCAGAGACAATAGTTGTTAATGGTTGTAGTCTTTTGCTTAATAGAGACACAAAGGTATAGAACTTTAATTGAAAAGGGAATTGTAGGAATTATATTAGTCATACTGTCTCACCTGGGTTTTCTTTTTTAAACTGCAACATGGGTATCTTTCCAGGTCATTACCTCTTTTTTTTTTCCTAGAAGTTGCTGGCAACTCTCATTCTTGTTATGCCATCTGAATACTATTCTGTGGTCGCAGGGACTGTAACCCCTTTACCATGCCCTGTAGGCAGGCAGGGTGTCCCAAGTCTTGCTGTCACTCTAGGAGCATCAGTGAGCACCTGTATCGTTGAGCGCCTGTGTGGAGGAGGGGCTGCTGCACTGTGTGTCTTTGGCTGGATGTGGCACTTGACCTTTGGTGCTCAGAGATTAGGAGAGCAGTGCCTGAGTGCAGAGCTGACTGCACTCCGCCCTTGTGGTGGAAGAGTGGAGCAGGCAACCAGCTGGCAAAGATATCCTCCCCAAAGTCCCCTTGTGTGTCCTCGGTGATTTCACAGTTTGGTGACAGAAGAGTGTCCTCTTGTCAGCCTCTGCTGCTCTGAAGGATGCTCTCGAGAGGCAGGCTCGGGCTTTTGCCCAGGTGGGATGGGTTTGGAGGATGGTAGAGGAAGAAGGGAGCTGTCACTTCTGTAGGCATTAAAATGAGTCAGTTATTTACAAATCTACCCCTTTTTTTAACCATCGAGTTTGAAGGTCAGTAGTTAATTTGTATAACTATGATTTCACATGTTGACTTTCCTTTTTCTCTCAAGATTAACAACACAGGGGCCATGAGAGAGAGGCCACAGCACCTTCTTCACGTTCACCTCCGTTATGTTCTTTAGTAGCCGTGTAATAGTCAGGGTTCTCCAGAGAAACTGAACTCCTAATAGCATGTGTATATGTATATATGGAGAGAAAGAAAAAGATTTATATTAAGAAACTGGCTCGTGTAATTGTGGAGGCTGGCCAGTCTGCAGTCTGCAAGGCAGGCCTGCAACCTAGAGACCCAGGGAAGAGCTGATGTTGTGGCTGGAGTCCGGGGCCATCTATAGGAGAATTCTCTCTTTCCCAGGGGACCTCCGTCTGTCTCCTTTAAGGCTTTCCACTGATTGAATGAGGCCTGTCCACTGTATGGAGCGTAATCTGCTTTATTCAGAATCTCCTTATTTAAAAGTTAATCTTACCTACAAAATATCTTCACAGCAATATCTAGACTGGTGTCTGACCAAATATGTAGGTACTGTGGCCCAGCCATGTTGATACATAAAATGAACCATCACAAATGGCTAGAGCCATTCCACCTGATACTGCAGTGGATGTCCTTGAAGGTGCTTCTACAGAAATGTCCTGGGTACCTTTGAGCAATTGTGAGTCATGAACTTTTCACCCTAGAGTGACACATGCTCATGCATGTAGAATCTTGTGAACAGTTGTAGGGTTATGGATCCGTGCTTAGAGCCTATCCAGGGATCCTAAGGAGTCAGTGATTCTCTGGTTAGAATCCATGTTATAGGCCCTTTTGTTCTTGGGCAGCATTATGTAACCAGTGTCCTCTGTCTGTGGTTCTGTGTCCTTGCTGAGAAAGGCAGAGCTGCCTTCAGGGAACTGGGCTCATTGCTGGGAGTCAGAGCCTTTCCTGGTCACTGTGCCCCACACGGCTCCTACAGTCCTTACAGCAGTGCTTATCCTGACTTTACAGAAGAAGGCACAGAGGCTTGGAGAGGCTAATTCACTTGCGCAAGGCAGTACAGCAGATAAGTGGCAGAGCAGGACCTAAACCCAGACCAGAACGCAGGCTTGACTGATACCTCTGTACCCACCCAGAGCAGGGAGAGTGTCCCCCAAGTAAGGGGGAGGCTGTACAAGGGTCATGCGGAAGTTGTTCTGTTATCACATTAGCTCCTCATTTTTATGGCTCACAAATGGGTTGGTGTTATCGAAGAGAGAACTGCTCACATGGGCTGTGAGTTGAGTCCTTTCTCTGACATTTCTCACTTTCTGGATGCTGATCTTCCAGGGTAACGGGCTTCCTAAGCACAGATTATGAAGTGAGTGGTATGTGTGTGAGCTGGCAGTCTCTCACACTAGGCTTGGATATCCTTTAATTTAGGAGAATCTTGACTTTCATTTCTCCCTGACTTGTAGCTAAACCGCGTGAATGGCACTTCGTCACCACAGTCACCCCTGAGCACGTCTGGCAGGGTCGCTGCTGTGGGGCCTTACATCCAGGTTCCTAGTGCCGGAAGCTATCCTGTCCCGGGGGACCCCATAAAGCCCCAGTCTCTCACTATTGCTTCAAATGCTGCCCATGGAAGATCCAAATCCAGTAAGTGGCCCGGCCCTCTTCCTGGGGGAGAATTCAAGAGCTGGCAGGGAGGTTTGTGGGGAGGGGGGTGCAGCAGGGCCGGGGCTAGGGCTTCTGAGGCTCCACCTTACGTCAGACTCCAGGCTCAGCTCCCTTGAGGCACTTGGTCTTTCTGGGCAGCGTTTGGGGAGCTGTGTGCCACCTCAGTAATGACCCTTAAGTGAGACCAAATTATCTTTATTGAAATGAAGGTCTTACTGTGTGGCTGTTCAAAACTCAGTAGAGTTTAATTAATTAATTAATTAAAACTCTGACCCTCTGACCCTCTGACCCTCTTATACCGCAGGTTTGTTTGCCCCTGAGGGCGCTGCCTATGGCCAGGCCGAAGGTCTGTCCCTATAAACAGAGCACTGTTACTGGTCTTTACTTTCCCCACTCAGCACCCTCTACGCTAATCAAAGTCTACAAACCATTGCTTTGGTCTTTGCACAGTTGTGCTGTGTAAGGACTCAGGCCTCCAGCTCCACGCTCAAGCACACTCATGTGTGACATCCCAGCCAAGAACAAGGCCAGCTCTCCAGTCTGATTGGATTTTTTTTTGACACAGAGTCTCACTCTGTTGCCCGGGCTAGTATGCTGTGTCGTCAGCCTTGCTCACAGCAACCTCAAACTCCTGGGCTTGAGCAATCCTCCTGCCTCAGCCTCCTGAGTAGCTGGGACTACAGGCATGTGTCACCATGCCCGGCTAATTTTTTCTATATATTTTTAGTTGGCCAATTAATTTCTTTCTATTTTTAGTAGAGACAGGGGTCTTGCTCTTGCTCAGGCTGGTTTCGAACTCCTGACCTCGAGCAATCCTCCTGCCGTAGCCTCCCAGAGTGCTAGGATTACAGGCGTGAGCCACTGTGCCCAGCCTGGATTTTAAACCAATGCATTAAAAAGTCAGGATTTCTTTGCAATAAGACTTTCTTTGTGACTGGGGTTGACACGTTTTCTTTAACGTGACAGCATCAGGAATCCATGTCCTGACATTCAAAACATTCCTTCAGGCCGGGTGTGGTGGCTCACGCCTATAATCCTAGCACTCTGGGAGCCCGAGGTAGGTGGATCACTCAAGGTCAGGAGTTCGAAACCAGCCTAAGCAAGAGCAAGATCCCGTCTCTGCTATAAATAGAAAGAAATTAATTAGCCAACTAATATGTATATATAGAAAAAAATCAGCTACTCGGGAAGCTAAGGCAGTAGGATTGCTTGAGCCCAGGAGTTTGAGGTTGCTGTGAGCTAGGCTGACACCACGGCACTCACGCTAGCCTGGGCAACAAAGCGAGACTCTGTCTCAAAAAAAAAATAACATTCCTTCATTTTTGAAAACAATTAATTCTACTCTCTGGCTGTCAGACCTATATTTTGAGCCCCTTTTTCAGGATTAGTGGTCAGTTCTTGTTGGTTTTTTGTTTGCTTCATTCTCTCCTGCCTGGTGCTTGGTAAGAACAGAAGCACATCTGCTCCTTCTGGGGAGCTCGGGGCTTGCTCTGAACCCAGTAAGAGGGAGACACTACCAGCCTTCAGGGCCATGAGCCCTGCTTACATCTGTTACAGCCACACCTCAGCACCCAGCAGCAATCTGGTCCGTGTGAGCCCCTAACTGAGCTTTCCTTGATAAGCTGTTGTTTATAGTTTGAACCATCCATGGTAGGAGTAGCTATTCATTTGTTTCCAGTGACAGGTAATTCGGGCAGCCAGCTACTTTCCTGCTAACTTCATTTGAAAATTGCCACGCTGAGAACATCTCCCATTTCCCCTTTCTCTGTCAGTGTGTCCTTTGCTGCCTCACAGGGTTTGCAAGAAGACACCTTACAGAATCCTAGTGTTGGTCTTTCCTCTGGGGCTTACCGTGACTGGACACAGAAAACCTGTGTTAACCCCAATCGGGGGGGCAGAATCTCAGCCCAGACGTAGAACTGTAAATCTCCCTGGTGGGGACTCTTAACCCTCGCAGTTGGCTGTCCTGGTTCTGTGTCAAACAGATGGCCACAGTAAACCCAGAGTGACCAGCTCGTGGATAGTGTCAGACCTCGACGTCGGGCCTGACTGCGGCTCCTCGCAGCACTCGGCAAGCCCGTTCATAAACCGTATGTTGGCTGACAGGCTTGGCGGGACACCTGCAATCCTCTTTAATATGTACAAAATCAGTAATCATTTGTTTTTCCAAACTGAAAAAGGTCTGCTCATCACATCTAGACTTGAAAAAGATGCCACACAAACATCATTTGTTTCAATAGGTGTGAAGTTTGGATGGGGCCACACACCTGATCATACTTAGAAAGGGTTTGACACCAAGGGACAGACGCTGGCACAGTACGAGTTTTGTTTTGGGGGTTTGCATTTTAAACATTAAGGTGATTTTCTGAGTTCATTATGAGGCCTTTGCTTTTTTTTTTTTTTTTTTTTTTTTTTTTAAGATAGAGTCTTGCTCTATCGCCCCAGGTAGAGTACAGTGGCAATAATTGTTCCTTTATGATATAAATAAGTGATCTTTCTTATGTGCCCTGCCTTGTTGCAAAGAAAGGAACCATGGCTGGTTTCCATAAAATGTCTCATTGCTGGGGGATTTCAGAAGCAGCTAGACAGCCACTTTCCCTGTGACCCTGTGGGAGGGCACAGAAATGCAGCTCCCTTGGCACTGGTCCCACCCTCCTTCCTGGATCTCAGGTGGGCCCTGCTTTTCCAACATCAGCCCTGAGTGTTCCTCCAGGTGCATCCTTGGCGAGCCTGTGAGTTTCTGGCCTATATATCCTTGGCATCTAATGTGTAACCAAGAGAGGATGAAAGCACACACACACCTGGCCTGGAAGGGGCTGACAGGCTACATGAAGCCAGGTGACAGTTTTTGCTGGGGCCTTGGAATGCCTCACCAGGGCCCGCATGTCTTGGAACCCTCTGCCCCGAGCGCCGTTGAGTGGTATAGCGATTGAGCCCCAGTTGTAAGCCCAGCGCTGGGGCTGCAGTGCTGCTGCGTCGGCGTTTGGCTTAGGGGCAGGCTGCGCACGACCACTGCTGGTGGGGCCAAGGCTCACTGCGTGACTCAGGCCTGCTCAGAGTGTGGTGGAGAGGCTCGTTCTTTGTGTTCTATGAGCCAAAGGTTTTGGCTCGAGTATTGTGAGAACCAGTGATTTCTCTGCTGCTTCTTAGTTATCCCCTCCTGCCTGTGCTGGCACGTGGGATGTGGGAAGGGGATGTGCTGTTGCTAGGAGGCCCCCAAACAGTCCCCTCTGGTGTCTGTCCCATATTGCTGATGGGGCTGGCAGTGTCGACCAGGGAACACTTCTGTACCCTTTTTCAGTTTGGAAAATGCTCTGTAAAGAACACATCATCCCAGTGGCTTTCCTGAAAACTTGAGTTGATGACTATCTTTCTAATCACTGCAACAGAACAACAGAATGGTAGTCTGTTCCTACTGCCACGTAATCAGTGGGAACTTGCTCTGGCCTCCTGTGATCATAAATTATTTTAGAGGATAGAAATTTCTAACAGATTAATGTAGAATTTTTATCTTAATAATGAAAGTAGTACAGGTCAAACCTATTATGAGGTCAAAAGGTGAATCTTTTTTGATTGTTGTATGTAATTTATAAATAGTATTTGAAAAATGCCAACGCTTAGTCAGTGGTGTTATAATGGATTTGACCTGCATTTAAATGGGGTGCAGCCCTGGGACTACACTAACTGAGTCTTCATTTGGTCTTTGAGGCTCTGGCAACACTTGGAAGCGATTTGGGCACCATCCTTTGGTCCTGTGCATGGGTCTGTGGGCCCTGGAGGAGATGAACAGCTCTGCACGTGGGTGGCGGGGCTGCTTGCTGTATGGAGCTCTGGCAGGACGCGACATCCCTGTGCTCTTTCTGTTTCTGGCAAGGTATTAGTCTTAGGTTGGTTCAACTAATTTTAAGAAAAATTTTTACTCAAATTCTTTGTTCTTTTCAAGCTAATGATGGAAGCTGGCCAACATTAAAACAGAATTCTAGCTCTTCAGTGAAACCAACACAGATGGCCAGTGCGGACTGGAAGGACCCGGGTATGGAGGGGACTCTCAGGCAGGGCACCATCTCAAGCCAGCCTTTGCCCTTCTCGGCGTTAGGAGCTACGGAGAAGCCGGTAGGCCATGTGTCTTTATTATAAAACACAAGTTCTTAACGACATCACTCATGCCTTCATCTTAAGTAAGGGGTCTGAGTCGTCATGAGGCAGATTAATCCTGTTAGTGTCCAAGTCACACCCAACGTCCTAAATGTGTTCCTGGACTTGAGAGCCTGAGAAGTGCACAGGTGCCTTCTGGTCAGGACTTGGGTGTCACTTCTGCAGACAGGCAGTGGCCTGCAGTGTGCCCTCTGCCCTGGTCACAGCCTGACTGAGGGGATGCCAATCCTACTATGTATATTCTTGGGGCTGTGGATCGAAATTTGCTTAACTTTTCAAAGACTGACTTTGTTTTTCCTCTTGACACTTAAATTTAGGGCATCGAGATTGGTAAAGTGCCACCTCCCATCACTGGTGGGGGCAAGCAGCTGCCCCCAAGCTATGGGACATACCCAAGTCCTACACCTCTGGGTCCAGGGTCGACAAGCTCCCTAGAGAGGAAGAAAGAAGGCAGCTTGCCCAGACCTGGTGCAGGCTTGCCAAGTCGCCAGAAGCCTACCCCACTGCCCCCGGCAGGCAGTGCCTCCCAGCCCGGCTCCTCACAGCAGATTCAGCAAAGGATTTCTGTGCCGCCAAGTCCCACGTACCCAGCGGGGCCACCTGCATTTCCAGCTGGAGACAGCAAACCTGAACTCCCACTGACAGTGGCCATTAGGCCTTTTTTGGCTGATAAAGGATCAAGGCCACAGTCTCCCAGGAAAGGCCCCCAGACGGTGAATTCAAGCTCTATATACTCCATGTACCTCCAGCAGGCCACACCACCCAAGAATTACCAGCCGGCGGCGCATGGCACCTTAAATAAGTCAGTTAAAGCAGGTATGGTGGGTTTACACTCTCCTTCTCTTCGTGCTGGGAAATTATACTTTTAATTAAGAAAATACTAATCCATATCCTTACATTTGGGCCACATGCTATTTAGAATGAACTTAATTGCTACATTAAAGTACAGCCTTGGGTGTGAGTGTGGGAGGGAAGTAAGAGGAGCCATGCGTGGGGTGAGGAGTTTGTGGGGCCTGAAGCTCTCTGGCTGCTTGTCTGAGTGTCCACCTCCCTGTGCTGCTTGGGAAGCCCAACTCCAGGAAGGGTGAGATCTCAGGGATTTCCTCTTTTCCCTCTTGCTTCATGGTAACTTGTGGCAGGAGCTACCCACTGAGCAGGGGGTGGCTTTGCTGTTTAGGAGCCTCCCCCAAAACCCCACAGGGGAGAAAAGCCTTGGTTTGAGGTGTTCTCGGAAGGCAGATGAGAGGATGAGTCTTACACGTTTTACCATGGCCAGTGACCCTCATGAGAGGATCCTATGGGTCGGGTCTAGGCTGGGGCCTCCCAAGACATTCTTGGGCGCCGGCTGTAGCTTCTGGATGCACAGTTCAGGGATTCCTGGGTGGAGGTCACCCTGCCCAGGGACCTCCCCAGTGGTGGTGTGGTGTTTACCTGTGGGCAGGTTTTGGCCACGGTGGAAAAGACCTAGACATTATCAAGAGCTCCTGGCCCACCAGGTGAAACCTTTCTGCTCTGAGGAGGTACATGTTTTTGAATTACTCTAAGGCTTTAGTAGTTTTGTCTTTTTCCTTGGCCAGAAAACAAGGCAGGCTTGAGGCAAGGAAAGTCAGATTAGCAATTTTTCTTCTTTTGGAAATGCTCCAATTCTGGAAACCCCGATGTAAAAACTTGTGCATTAGAGAGAGATACTGCACCTTTCTCAAGGAGTCAGTGGAGGTTCTAGGAACAGGTTTCCTCAGGATTTAAAACTTGAATTTGACAGCAGCAGCACACTTGCATGTCTCTGTAGGTGCTACCTCTTGTGGAATCGAGATGCTCAGTGATCAGACTCCAGCAACACTGTTGAAATTGCCTGTCTTTTCTGTCTCCTGCAGTATACGGTAAACCCGTTTTGCCATCGGGTTCGACATCTCCGTCACCGTTACCGTTTCTTCATGGGTCGGCGTCCACCGGCGCGTCGCAGCCTCAGCCGTCTTCAGAGTGTCCCGAGAAAGAGCCAGAGCCGGACGGCCCTGCCCCACCCGCAGACGGCAGCACGGTGGAGAGCCTGCCTCGGCCGCTCAGCCCCACCAAGCTCACACCCATCGTGCACTCCCCGCTGCGCTACCAGAGCGACGCCGACCTGGAGGCGCTCCGCAGGAAGCTGGCCAACGCGCCCCGGCCCCTGAAGAAGCGCAGCTCTATCACAGAGCCCGAGGGCCCCGGCGGGCCCAACATCCAGAAGCTGCTGTACCAGCGTTTCAACACCCTGGCTGGCGGCATGGAGGGCACCCCTTTCTACCAGCCCAGCCCCTCGCAGGACTTCATGGGCACCTTGGCCGATGTGGACAATGGAAATACCAATGCTAATGGCAACCTGGAAGAGCCCACCCCTGCCCAGTCCACAGCCCCACTCCCTGACGAGCCTGCCCCTTCATCAGATGCCAATGACAATGAGTTACCTTCCCCTGAACCAGAGAAGCTCATCTGTCCCCAAACCATCCACCAAACCCCTGAGCCTGCGGAGGACAATAACAACAACGTGGCCATGGTGCCTTCCACAGAACAGGTCCCAAGTCCTGTGGCTGAGGCACCGTCCCCAGGGGAAGAGCAAGTTCCTCCACCATCTCTTCCCCTTGTTGTCCACCCTCCTGCAGCCTCCACGGTGGGTGTCCTTGCTAGACCAGCGCCAGGCCCTCCTGGTCATTCGTGCACCCAGGACCTCTGGGGCACTTCCCTTGTGTTAGGCTGTGCTGGGAGCAATAGGAGTCAGGAATGTCCCTGTCTCAGGCCCCCTGAGTTGGGCCTAGTGGGGAGAACAGTCACGTGTCATACAGATAGCCGTGGCACAGGGGAGCCTTTCCCGGGTGACTGGTGGGGAGCTCTAGGAGGCTTTCCTGTGGAAGGGGAGCCAGAAAGAAGTAAGAACCATCTAGACAGAGGGCCCCTGGTGGGAGGTCAGTGTTGATAGAACAGAGAGTCTTCAACAAGGTCCTCTCTGCTGGGGTCTGGTGCCTTGGCAGGAAGAGTCCTGTGGAATGTGGGAAGGAACCAGCTGCTGCCTCCCTGGGGCTGGCACCAGGTCCAGCAGCTTGGCAATCACCTGCCACACTCCTTCCCACAGGAAATGGCTGACAGCCCAAACACAGCCTTGTTCCCTGTGAGCACAAGACAGAGGCTCCGTCCGGGGCTCTCCTTCGGAGCAAGCTCTGGGCGGCAGTTGGCACTGGTGGCCGGGCCCTCACTTAGGGAGGCCACCTGGGTGCTGCTGCTGCTCCAGGGGCTGCTCGTGTAGCCCTCCCTTAGGCTCTAGTTCCTGCCACACCTTCCCACCCAGGTGGTGCTTCTTGTTCTCTCCTCGCTTCGGGAGATTGCCTTTAATCTAACAGCATGCTTCATCCTCATTCCCACAGAGCAAACGGACCAACCTGAAGAAGCCCAACTCCGAGAGGACGGGGCACGGTCTGAGAGTCCGATTTAACCCCCTGGCGCTGCTCCTAGATGCTTCTCTGGAGGGAGAGTTTGACCTGGTGCAAAGGGTCATCTATGAGGTGAGCTGCAGCTGCCTGCCACTGCGTGCGTGGGGGGGCGGGCGAGGCTCTCACGCGCCGTGTGTCCTAGGTGGAAGACCCCAGCAAGCCCAACGACGAAGGGATCACCCCACTGCACAACGCCGTCTGTGCCGGCCACCATCACATCGTGAAGTTCCTGCTGGACTTTGGGGTCAACGTGAACGCTGCTGACAGTGACGGATGGTGAGGCCCGTGGGAATGTGGGGTTGAGGGGCTCACTTTTCCCTACTTGTCAAATGGTAGACATGCATGTTCTAGACAGTCTGGGAGTATGGAAGAGAGAGCAAAAAAAGGCACCTGCTGTCCGCATGCCTTTGCATGTCTTCCCAGCCTTTCCTTTCGTCACCTTGTTAACGGCGTAGCTGTGGCTGTGTTCTTTGTGTGCCTGGTTGTAAACACGGTGACCTAAGCAGTCTGCTAGTCAGTTTCCTCTCTTCTTACACTCTATATGAAATGGATGAATTCCGTGTTCCATATGAAAAGTAACCTCAGCAATTCCCCTTTTGTCAGACGCCAAGCTGGTGTTTTTCTTTTCCGCTTGCCTTCAGGAAGAGGGCCCACTGGTCCCCCATAGGGGTTATTTTGAACTTCCAGATGGCTGTCATTCTGCTGTATTTGAGTTGTGGTAAAATATAACATTTTACCATGTTAGTCACGTTTAAATATACATTTTAGTGTGTCATGTACATGTACATTGCTATGTGATGAACATCTATTTATAGGCCATTTCTAATTATATGCCCCCCTTTTCAAAAATTTATGTGTGATCCAAAACAACTTGTTAGTAGAAATCATGCCATTAAAACTGCGCAGAAGCGGCTTGGCATGGTGGCTCATGCCTATAATCCTACACTGTGGAAAGCCAAGGCAGGAGGATCGCTTGAGCTCAGCAGGGTGAGATCTGCCTGAGCAACAGTTGAGACCCCATCTCTACCAAAAATAGAAATATCAGCCAGGTAATGTGGTACACACCTATAGTCCCAGCTACTCGGGAGGCTAAGGCAGGAGGATCACTTGAGCCCGGGAGTTGGAGGTTGCAGTGAACTATGATTGCGCCTGTGAAGAAACTGCACTGTAGCCTGGGCAACAGAGCAGGCCCCCCCCCCCCAGAAAAACACCCCATAGAAGCTTGCCTGGCACAAAAGCACAGCACCTTCCATGAGTGTTCCTTAGAGGGCTGCTTTGCACAGGGGCCAGGCAGCTCTGGGGCAGCGCCAGACCCACGTTGTCACACGCACTCTGCTTCCAGGACACCGTTGCACTGCGCCGCTTCCTGTAACAGCGTTCACCTCTGCAAACAGCTGGTGGAGAGCGGCGCCGCCATTTTTGCCTCAACCATCAGTGACATTGAAACTGCAGCAGACAAGTGCGAAGAGATGGAGGAGGGCTACATTCAGTGCTCACAGTTCCTGTATGGTATGTGGGGGCCCAGAGCACTGGCGATTTTCCCCTGGGGCTGCAGTGATGCTGTGGACCATGGTGCTGCCACGGCAACGGCCCTTGGGGCCAGGGAGAGGCCTGCAGTTTGACTGGAGCACAGCATTCTTGAGTAGCGTGCTCTCATTCCTGAAACCATGTTTGGAAATCCACACTGTTAGAAGGAGTCTGTGGTGGATAGCCAAGAAACCAAAAGTGGCTTGGCTGTGCTTGGCAGAGATGTTGCCCCGTTAGACAGAGGAGCTGGGGGAGGGTGGTGGCCGGGCAGCATCTTGTCTATACACTTGATGCTGGGAAGTCTCCACCCCTGTGGTGGCCTGGGCTTGGCTGCTGGTCCCCAGAACCACTTTGTGAGTTAGGCTCATGTCTTAATTAAGCTGCTTATCCAGGGTCAGATTTTCCAAGAATCGGAACATCTTCTGTGTTCTGAGGGTTAAACACTCAAAAGGCATCGTTCGCAGGTGACCTGAGAACCTGCTCTGTGCCCCACCCGCATTAGATCCTGCGGATGAAGTGATAGATTAAAACTGCCAGGCGATGCTCTCCTCCCCCTCCCCAGGCTCCCACAGACAGAGCCGGCAGCAGCCTCGAGGGCTGTCTGGTAGGGCTGGGGAGGCACAGGAGCCCCAGGGGGGCCCAGCCCCTGGGCGTGGGGAGCAGACTGCAGTCACGGTGGCACTTGCAGAGGCTCCCTGGCACTCACCACGGCAGGCTCCGGAACCAGCGTCCTGCAGAAGGGGCCTTGCTCGGGGACTCTCGAGTGGCTGTGTGCACCGCGGTCACGGTTCAGTTGTGTGTGGTTTGTTCGCTGCCATCCGAGAGCAGGTGTCACTCCTTTAGTTACTGAATTTTGGAAATGTGAGTTACAGGTTTCACTGTAAGAAATGCCTTTTAGAACAGCCCCTTTGCCTCTGGGCTCAGGGGCTCAGTAGGACTGTCCTGCGGGGCGGGGGTGAGCGCGTTAAGCCGGGAGCACCAAGGTCTCGGGGAGGTGGCGTCCTGGTCTCTACGGTGTCTCGCCTCGGTCACCTCGGCCGCCGCCCTCCGTCAGGCCGCTGAGAGCTGCCCAGCAGCAGCACATCCACCCCGTCCCTTGAGCCGCTCCTCCCTGAGGCCACCCTGAGGCCTGACCACTGTTCTCTGGCCCCAGGGGTGCAGGAGAAGCTGGGTGTGATGAACAAAGGTGTGGTGTACGCTCTGTGGGACTACGAGGCCCAGAACAGTGACGAGCTGTCCTTCCACGAAGGGGACGCCCTCACCATCCTTAGGCGCAAGGACGAAAGCGAGACCGAGTGGTGGTGGGCTCGCCTTGGGGACCGCGAGGGCTATGTGCCCAAAAACCTGCTGGGGGTAAGCACGCCGAGCTGTCCTCGTAGCATGGGGCCAGGGCAGGGGCTACCTTTCTCCAAGCCTCAGTCCCCCGTCCCCGTATGCAGGCAGGTACCCGCTCTGTGGGTCGGTGGGAGGCTTGTGCAGAACCCCTGGGGGCCCAGGACTGGGCGCACAGGCAGGAGCTGCCGGGCGCCGGCTCGGGCACATACTGAGAACTTCAGCCAGCCGCTCGCCTCACCCCACGTAGAACTCCCCCCATCTAGAATTCTTGTAGCCCAGACGCTTACGGGATGGCGTTGGGAGTTGCAGGTTGCCAGCTCCGTGCTGCGTGTCGTTGCACGGTCTGGGCAGAGGGAGTGCCTTGCTCTCTCCTCCTGCCAGCCTCGGGGGTGCCGGCAGAGGCTCCTTACTCGTTCTGCCACTTTCCCTGGGCTCCTGGCATCTGCCAGGTGCTTAGGCCGACATAGCAGAGACATCAGCCCACCGGACCAGGGGTCTGCAGACAAGTTTTTAGGTGGTAGGAAGTGCTGTGAGGGAACAGGATATTCTCGGGTGGGGGTGCCCTTCAAATGGGGCTTAGGGAGGCTCAGAATGAAGAGGTGACGGCTGAGGTCAGGCCCAAGGGAGGAACGCACCTTCTGGCTGTGGGGGACGGGGAGGGCTGGGCTGAGGGAACGTGACTCCACTGGGTGCCTCTCCTCATCCTGCCACATCTCCTTGGTCCCCAGCTGTACCCACGGATCAAACCCCGACAGCGGACACTCGCCTGAGCGTTCTTCGAGCACCGCGTGGTCTTGCCAGCTACTAGGAGCCACTGAAGAGACGATTCTGTCTCCCCGGGAGCGCTGAAGCTAGAAGCGGTTTTAATGGTGCTCACTTTAGCAGACAGCGTCCACAATGTGAATCCCCGCAGCTCCCGGGGAGGCCCTTTCTCCAGCTTGCGCGTGACTGGGAGAGGTACTTTTGCCTCCAAGAGGACTTGAGTTTTGCCAATTACTGTAAACCCAAATAAATACCCAGCTTTCAAAACACCCACCCCTGTTGCCAACAAGCCCCATAATTACCCCCTGGTTGGTTGCCAGTGAAGACAAAAGCTCTTACTGTCTTGGCCCCAAGGCTCACTCATTTCAGATGTCACCACAGCAGTGAAGACCTGCAGCTGTTGGGCCTGCCCCCAGCTACAGCCCTGCCCTCCTGCTCCTGAAGGTCAGATGCCACCGTCCCTCCTCACCTCCCCCGAGTCCTCTTCCTGTCATCACCAAAGGAGCCCTGTATGGAAACTTCTGTCCAGTGCTGCCCGATGTGTGTTCCTCAGTGACCACCCTGTGTAGCCACTTTGGGGTGTTCTGCTTCCTGTTCTGGTGTTGGTCTAGGTCACCCAAAGGTGGACGGGTGCCAGCCTGGTGCTGGACTTCCGTGCCACGGGCCCCTAAGACCACGTGACACAGCCCGGAGCACCTCGGTGCACACTCCTCTGAGTGCACCTGGACGCCATAGAGGGCAGAGCTGGGGGCCACAGTCACCTTTGCCCTACTTCCAGCCTCATGGCAAGGAAGGACGTCACCGAGGTATGGATTGCACGTACAGGCTTTTTATATACCAAAAGTATTTTTTGACTAGACCATTCGAAACTACCAGAACTACATTGGAAATGTTTTTTTCTCTTCATTAAAATACAAGCCCTTAGGGCTTTATTTTTCATGTATGAGTCTTGTGTATAATTTATGTATAATGTGTGTATAGATCATTGATACAGTGTTACAGTGCTGTCTCAGTCACCCCTGAGCATTGACTGTACAGTGTGGTGCTGAGATGTGAACGCCCCGTGGAGCAGCCACTACGGGGTGTGGCCACTGCTGTCCCCGACACTGCTGATGCCTGTAAATGTGCACAATAAAGCGCTGTCTCCCCCCGTGGCTGCGCGTGTTGTGTTCTAGAGTCAGACTGAGCTGTCACACAGGTGACCTGGACACAGTGAGAGGCCTCATCTGTATGTTCAAAATAGGTTTTAATCATAAGCTTTATGTACAAACTGCTGTACAGTCATTTTAATAAAGTGAAATAGTGAAAAGTACAAAACACCTTCCCTGTAGTGAAATAGCAAAGGATGTTCATAGCCCAAAATTAGTGACAAGGTGGACAGACGTCCGTAAACCAAGTTCAGGCAAGTGCTGTAAACAGGCAGCTCCCTGCAGGGCAGAGGCTGGAGTCAGCACTACCCACACTGGCTCTGGGGACAGATTAATGAAATGAACATTGATGGGCCAGAACCTTCTAGTAAGCCTGGGAACTCAAAAACATGGTATGGATTATGCTAAAAATAGTTTCGTAGTAGTGTAGCTCAGTCTCTCCCACTCTTAATTATCAACAATACACAAATTCTAAAACGTGAAGCTGTTTAAAGCGTTAATAAACTGTGTACATATTGCACTAGGTAAGTGAACACTTCTGTTTCTCCAAATACGTGAATTGCATTTCCCAGCACAAGCAAGACTGAGCCCCGTGGTGCACAGGGAGTGGCCTCTGCTGTTCCAAGCACCTCAGTCCCAGTGCCCAGACGTGCCCCAAGCTCAGCTCACACGTGAAGTCACTGGTCGCGAGATTCATAGAGGAGCTTGGCAGCCTGCAGGGTGACCAGAAATAAACACAAAACACGATCAGTCCCACACCTGATCAGAGCTGGCCCTGTGCTCGGGGAGCTGGGGTGGGGCGGGCACAGGGCAGGAGGCAGGTCCTTCTCTGAAAAACTCCCTTTGCTCTACACGGAAGGGCCCGGCCTCTCGTGCCCGGCCCCGCCGCAGTACCTTGTGCATGGCCGCCAGCCACGCGGCCGCCTGTCTCCTGCTGGTGTGCGCATCCTCCCCAGCTGTCAGCTTCAGCTGGGCCACGCCCTCTTCCCCCGGCACCGTATACTGCAGGAACATGCCCGTGGCCCGCGTGTTGCCTCCTGGAGGAAGGAGACAAGGTAAGAAGGCCCAAAGGGGACCCCAAGTGCCGGGATGTGTGGGGCCCAGGTGCCTCCCTGACCTTGCGGTGCTCTAGGGAACGGCCTGGGGGTGAGGGTCAGCGCTGAGCAGCACCCAGGGAACTCCGTATCTTTGTGCCTCTCTGATGGGAGACCCAAGTTCACAGGGTAGGAAAGGGACCAAAACACCTGGCCCCGGGCCCTCCATGGCCCAGGACATGCTGAACCACATCACCGAGAGCTGCGTGAGAGGCCTTGTTCTCAGCTAATCCAGAAACGAATAAGCTTCCCTGGCCTGTGTGGGGATTCCTGCCTTCAGAGAACCCCCAAACAAGGCTGGCTCCCATCTGCATCCAGGGCTGGCAGGACCGTAGAGGCCACTTCAAGAGTGCCCTGGCCATCGGCAGACAGGCCAAGCAAACACTCGTGTCAGAGCTGGCCTCACAGTAGCTGTCACACTACTGAGCACCGAGGCCACAGCGGAGATTGTTGGTACAGGTAAGGGCCTCACACCAGGAAAACGCCCCCCCACCCTAGTCACGGGCTGTTCCCCCCGACCTGACGTGGTGGCCCAGAAACACCCTATGTTTCGGGATCGGCCTGCTGGGCTGCACGCCCCCATCACGATGACTCAATTCCAGCACCTGCTCCAAGAACCACTCAGGAAACAGAACAGCTCTTCACAGTGTAGAAAAAGACCTGTGGGACTGGGCCTCATAGTGACCTTGACCTACAGCTTTTTAAAAATTGTTTTGGGAGGAGGGGGGCATGGGCAATATACATAACTTTAACATTTGTATCCCCATAACATGCTGAAATAAAAACAAAAATAAAATGGTTTGAGAGAAAAAGGTCTGTGTTGCCCAGCCTGGAGTAGTGACGTAATCACACCTCACCGCAGCCTCAAACTCCCGGGCTCAGGCGATCCTGAGTAGCTGGGACTACAGGCGCGCCACCATAACTGACTACAGCTTTTCTACTTGGTGACTTGCGGAGGAAAGCTCCACTTGGACCGATCATCGACCCCTCAGGAGATTCCACCAGACACAGATCTCCGAATCAAAACCGACGGCCCGGCTCTCCCAGCAGTGGGTGGCGTGGGCCGAGCACGCAGGCGGAGCGCAGCGGCCGCGCTCACTCGGGGAGAGGCATGGCCACCTGTAAAGGGCTGTGCCCAGGCAGGCCACTAAGCCCTGCTGTCATGAGCCACGTTCTATTTTAAAGCTCAGAGACCCCTGGACACCCTGCCTGTTGACTGACGCCCCAACGAGGCTGCCGTGGGAGGCTCCCACCTGTGCCCTGGAGCAGGCAGAGCCCGGCTCTGCCACCACCTGCTTTTGTGAATAAAGTTTTACTGGATCACAGCCACGGCCATCTGTCCCCCTGTTGTCAGTGGCTGCCTCTGCGCTCTGTGACAGCGTGTGTGGCCAGCACAGACTTACTATCGGGCCCCCGACAGAACCAGTGTGAGCCCCCACTCTAGAGGGCCCAGGCCAGCAGGTGGACCGTCGGGCTGTCTTCAGCTCGGAACTGTTCCCACTGTCCCGACCCCCATGTGAAGACAGGCTCCGGGGTCCTAAGTCTAGAAACCACTGGGCAGAGCAGGGCTAGCTGCACTCCCAAAGCCGAGAAGGGCGTGCACAGTGCCACAGCCGCACTGGCCCCCCGCCGCGCCCTGGGTGGACCTCAGCGGGTCGTGTTCCTGAGCTTCGGGCTCCCCAGGGGGCAAGGGCAGAGGGCACCAGGCTGTCCCCTGCGTCTCCAGACCCCGCCCTGCACCGGGGCCTCTCCCGCGGCCTGCCTGGTGCCACACAAAGCCTGCACTCAGGGGACAGAGGCAGCGAGACATGGCCTGGCCCTCTCACCCCGTCATTCAGGAGGACGGGACAAAAGTGCTGAGAGAGTCTGAGGGTCCCCAAAGGTCACAGGGCAGTGCTGAGAGAGGTTCCCACGCCCAGCCTGCTCTGGCCAGATGTTGCCAGGAGGCCGCCAACTGGCGGGTGACACTCCCCAACGCTCACGGAAGAACTGAGCCAGACACATTTTCTAGGACCAGCAGTCCCCAACCTTTCTGGCCCCAGGGACCAGTTTCATGGAAGACAAGTTTCCCAGAGACTGGGGGGCAAGAGGGAGGGTTTCAGGGTGACTCAAGCACGTCACATTTACCGCGCAGTCAGTCCTCTCTGCTAATGACGACCTGTATGTGCAGCCCTCCCCAGCGCTGGCCGCGCCGCCTCAGCCCCACCCAGATCATCCGGCGTTGGATTCTCACGCGGAGCCGCAACCAGACCCCGCGCACGCGCAGTTTACGGCAGGGTTTGTGCTCCCGTGAGGCTCTAATGCCACTGCTGATGCGACAGGTGGCGGTGCTCAGGCGGAGATGCGGGTGATGGGGAGCGTCCCGGCTCCCTCACCGCTCACCTCCGGCTATGCGGCCCGTTCCTGACAGGTGCCGTCCTCGGCCTCCGGTGGGGACCGAAGTGCCAGCATGTTCTCGTGAGGCTCTACAGACCCACGTGCTGGACCCGACATCTCCCTCCAGTCAACCCAAAGCAGTGATCGTGAGTCTCACAGAGAACCTTGGCACGGACACCCCAAGGACAGAAGCGAGTGGCGAGAGGAGGGGCAGGGCCCGCCGTGCCCGGGGAGCCGGGCGGAGGGTAGGGCTGACCTTCAGAGGCAGGCTGGCTCCGCCGGAGGCCGACGTAAGCGTGAATGTCTTTTTCTATGTCAAGAAGGCGGCGGCAACGGAGAGAGGAACAGTCAAGAGCAGCGAGAGAACGGAAGGCAAGACGGGTTAGGTCAGGGCTGTCCCGGCAGCTCAGAGACGGGACGCAAGCGCCGCGGCAGCAGACCGGCGGCCCCGGAGGTGGCGGGTTTAGTCGGAAAGCTCCAGACTAGGCTAGGTGCTCTAGAAGCTCACAAGGACATGCACATGGAATTTAGTCTGCACAGCGGCAGAGCGAGGGACAGTGGGGCTGCAGTGCTGGTTCCCGGACAGCCGTCACTCCGGACCTTTCTGGGGATCTTGGTTATTGCACGTGGAGCTGTGTCCCTGGTGTGAGTCCAGCAGTAAGTGGAGTGACACATCGGAGCACTCAGGCAGAGGGCAGTCACCACGACATGCCCGGCTAGCTGTCCTCCCTCGGCACAGCGCAAGCCCCCACGCCCCTGGCAAGCTGCAAAGCCCCCGGCTAGATACGAGCCCCCAGAGAGGAAAGGCAGGCCGTCCTGGGGACACGCTCCCGTCACCCACCTGTGGCACTGACCCCCACTTAGAGAAGGACAAGGCAGCATTTACCTCCTGGGGGGAAGCCGTCCGTGAGGACCTGCACGGTCGAGATGTGCGCGATTTCGATTTCGCGGTGGCCGTCTCCATCCAGAAACAAGTACCTACATCAAGCAAAAGCTTCCAGATCACGTCCTTATACTTTCACGCCCGGCGTGACTGAGGTCCACAGTCCGTGACAACACGTCCCGCGCCAAGTAGGGTTGTGGCTCTTACCTCTGGTTGTTGGAAAGACGACAAACCACGGTTTCGGATTTCTCCGAGTTTCCAAAAGTTGCATGGAAGGTGGCTCCTTAGGACACAGAAACAAACGTGAGAACAGGACCCGCTTGTTTTCCACGCAACCTGCCCGGCTGAGCGCCGGGAGGTGAGCACACGGGGCGGGATGGAAACAGGAAACAGACACAGCTCTGTCCTAAGGACCTTCGGCTGGGCAGAAAGCAGGCAGGGA